TTCATAGCTCACTACAACTTCAAACTCTTGGACTCAAGTGACCCTCCTGCCTCAGCCTCCCAAGTAGCTGGGACTACCATGGCACCACCATGCCCAGCTAATTTTTCTCTTTTCTTTTTTTTTGTAGAGAGGGAGTCTTGCTCTTGCTCAGGCTGGTCTCAAACTCCTAAAGCATTCTTCCCTTCTTGGCCTTCCACAGTGCTCGGATTACAGGCATGAGCCTTGGCCATCAGAATTTTTCTTATGTGAATTAAGTCACAATCTTTTAATCACAAACCCATTGGGGCAGGGGGCAGGGACATGCAAAAACAAATTGTCCCTCATCACCCCCTCCCATTGGTGGTATATACCTGTTAAGTTGGGGTCTGGAAGTTGAGAGTATCTACAGCAACATTAAAACGATCATTGCAGTAGAACCTCCATAAGTTGACCATCCAAGGGATTGTAACAAACTGGTCAACATAAGGAACTTCCATTGAGTACATGTGGTGCATGGCTGGTCTATGAAAATTTCAGTCAACATGAGGATGTGATCAATATAGGGAGGTGGTCAAACTACAGAGGGTTCTACTGTATTTTTAAATCCTTGTCAAGTTACTTTAAGGAATACCACTATTATTTTCCCTATTCTCCAAGTCATCAACATGGGCCCAGTTGCTAAGAATACAAAATAAATTTCAAAATCTTTCTGATGCTTAATTCTATAGTTAAACACAGACAGAAGGTCTTCCAGACATCTTTTGGCAGGTAATGTAAACTTGCTTTTTGTGAAGTCTTTGTTTCTTTGAGAAGCAAGGAAAAGATTTGCAGTTAAGTTTGGATAGACTCAGCCATGTTAGTAAACCTAGAGGTAGAGTCGGTTTTTTAACTCAGGGTAATTATTTTTCTTAGAAGGGATTTCAAACATTATTTGGCTTAAACTGGAATATCAGAAATACAGGCCCATGTGAAAGAAATCTTTGGCTATAAATTTGGTAATTTGTTTGTATTTAAATCATTGAATTCTTTTAAACTAAATTGATACTAGGTCTTGCTCAGGAAATAACTTTCCAGAGGAAGAAGAGGAAGAGGGCAGGACTTCAGATCTCACTGAGTTGATCACTACTGTATATAGAGCATTTTTATTCCCCATGAAGCATTTTTTTCTTCATTTTCATTTTTCTGTTTCATAACATTCCATCTTTCAGGGTGGGATGAGTCTTAGTGTTTAATAAGGTTTTGTTGTGTTTAGGGATACGGAAGATTGAATTAAGAACAACATTTCATTTTCCTACTTTGTCATGGAGAACTTATCTTTGCTTTTTGCAGTTTCTTACATGATGCTTTTAGTCCATTCTTGTTAATTTGACTGTGCATGGGGAAATAAACCCAAAATTTACTTTTCTTTATTTGTAATACCCAAATAAAGCCAGCAGTACTCTCATAAAATGTATTATCTCTCAGATGTCCTTTCTCTTGGTCACATCAGAGCAGTGATAGTAATGATCTGGCTATCCCACCAAACACAGTTTGGGGGGTAATGAATGTTGATGTGAGTGGAGGCAGTTGACCTCCACCAGTTGACCAGGTTTTTGGAATTGTGCTCCCAGTGCTGCTGAATCAGGCAAGCCCTTTCTTTTCTTCCTGCCAAATATACCTGCCTATTAAGAATTTGTCCACTAATATTCTCACAGTGAGATGAAGTAGTGTAGTTAGCTACACCTGAATTTTTTTAGGGTGCCAAAGCCCTATAAATTTTAACTTTTTAAATATAACAGCTGAAATACATGAGTAAAAAAAGAGCAATCTCAGTGATATCTTTATTGAAATATAATTCACATACCATAAAATTCACCCTTTTAAAGTTTGCAGTTCAGTAATTTTTCAGCATATTGTACAACCATGACCACCATCTAACTTCAGAAATTTTCATCATTCCATGAAATAAACTCTGTATTCATGAGCACTTTTTATTCCTCCCTCCCCTCAAGTCCTAGGCAACCACTCATCTACTTTTGGTCTCTATGCTTATTCTCGACATTTCCCATAAGTATAACCATACAATATGTGGTCTTTTGTGATTGGCTTCTTTCCTTAGCAAAATATTGCACATGCAGTACCTCATTCTTTTTTATGGCTGAACAATATTCCATTATGTGGATGGGCATACTGTGTTTTGTTTATCCATTTGTCAGTGAACAATTTAAGAGAATGAATAATTTTTAAACTTACAATTACTTAATTTTTCCATGGATGTAAGGGGCTGTTTATTGACTTATTTTGGCCATGGTTAAGCAAACTCTACCACCCCATTTTGAACCTGGTATCTGATTCTCCAAAGCATCATCTTTATTTATTTATTTATTTTTTGCAGTTTTTGGCTGGGGCCGGGTTTGAACCCACCACCTCCGCCCTACTCCTTTGAGCCACAGGTGCTGTGCAAAAGCATCATCTTTTAACAAGCTTTACTCTTGTTCTCCCAGTTTCACTAGCTAGCTTCTCTGAGTGAAGCATTATGAATACCAAAAAAAAGATTTGAGAACTATAATCTTAACCTCACACTTTAAAAAAAGAAAGGCAAAATATAATCAACGACTCCATCTGTGTTTTACTTAAAATATTTTTTATGTGCTCACCTTATCACTCCCCAAATACTTAGAAAGTGCTAAGGGTATACAAGAAAACTGGGCTGTCATTTTAGCCACCTCAGTTTTTAAAATGCAGAAATTAACTCTGCCAGTTGGTCAAAAGCTGCTCCAGTGCCCACCTTTAACCCTTCCATAGTCCTCCTATCTCAGCAAATAACCAGGGCAATCCTTAGCACAGCAGAAGGCCTCCAGGTTAACAGTGGTTGTTTAATGCTAAATAATGGTTATGTTAGCGGGAAACAAAGGTATTTTGCAAAGTTAAAGGAACATTGAAGTAGGAGACTTGAATCTCAGTCACCACTTTGTTATTAGGTACCTTTGATATTAGCTAATCCACTCCTGTACTTCTTACGTTGTCAGCTCTAAAATCAGAGGAGTAATACCTACCCTAACTACCTCACAAGATATTATAAAACAGTAAGTTCTGAAGCTGGTACATGAACCTGCCACCCCTTGCATATGGGGCTGGTACCCTACTCCTTTGAGCCACAGGCACCGCCCACTTTGGCTTTGTTTTTTGTTAGAAAAATTTTTGAAATACTTTTAGAGTAAATATTGACATAAAGCAAAGATTTTATTAAGTCTTAAGCTTTACCAAGTTTTAAATTATTGAGTTATATGAACTTTCTGATTATTCATTTGTAGTTCTGCTAAAGTTTTCTTTCAAAAAATGACACTAAAGTCTAATGGAAAGTGCTACCACTAGTATTTCTATTTTTTCCTCATGTTAGGTGTGTATCAAATCAGCAAACAAATCAAAGCTCATGATGGCAGTGTGTTCACACTTTGTCAGATGAGAAATGGGATGTTATTAACTGGAGGAGGGAAAGACAGAAAAATAATTCTATGGGATCATGATCTGAATCCTGAAAGAGAAATAGAGGTAAGGATGGAAATAGAATATAAACATATGGAATCCTCTAAATGCATGTATTTTGTCCCACATTAAGGTAACTTTTCTGGGAAACTGGTGTACATTCTTACAATTTCATACCCTCAAGACATGGATAACTTAAAAAAAAAAAAAAAACCTTTTAAAAAAACACCCAAAAAGGACCATTCATTAAACAAAATAGGCTGGGCATAGTGGCTCACACCTGTAATCCTAGAGCCATGGGAGGTTGAGACGGTTGGATTGCCCAAGCTCAGAAGTTTGAGACCAGCCTGAGCCAGAGCAAGACCTTGTCTCTTAAAATAAAAAAATAGCCGGGCATTGTGGCGGGCATCCATAGTCCCAGCTACTTGGGAGGCTAAGGCAGGAGAATCACTTGAGCTCAAGAGTTTGAGGTTGCTGTGAGCTATGACATTACAGCACTCTACCAAGGTTGACCAAGTGAGACTCTGTCTCCAAAAATATATATAATAATTTGAAAAAATTTAAAAAGATTAGACAGAATAATTTGCCTCTTCTGAGATATTTTTAGTGATCCAAAAATAGAACAGTACAAATTTAAAATTCAACATTCATTCACTGAACACTGTATCTAAGTGCAGGATATTCAAAACAACCAGTTTAATTTAAAAACTTTTAAGCACTCTTTTTAAAAAGTGTGCTTAATGATAATCACTACTTCTATGTGGGTCTGCTTCATGGCATGGACCAAGTGTATCCAGAAAACCTGAGAGATATTATGTGCTTCGTGAAAGTGTGCTATTTGAATTGAGGTCTCAGGAAGTGAAATATTTAAGAACAGTATTTTAGAGAAATGATTCTTAAAGCAAGAGCAAATCTCACAGAAGTTAATATTGCTTCTTTGTGTGTGTGTGTGTGTGTGCTTTAAAATTTGAATTTATTCTCAGTATTTTTTCTATGTATAACACTCTCTCCAAACAAAATCATCTCTAAAGAAGAGGATCCTGATAGTATTGCTCTTGGGTTTTATTTTCAAGAAGATAGATAATAAAAGTTCCCTAATCATAACTTTAAGTTCATAGTAGAAATGCCAGTCCCAGTACTATTTCTTTTCTCCACAGATAACTCATATCCTTTGTAATCAAGATATACAATCTAGTTTACTCCTTCCTTTTCCATTTCTGACATAAATTTGGGTTACTCTTACAATTTAGTTCTTTGTATTTTTAGGAGTTATTCTAGATTCTCCTTTATAAAGGAAAAAGAATTGCATTGTTTCAGAGAGAATCCTTCTTTGGGATTATTATTAGTATAATATTCACTGAGAATGTTCCAGCTATATTGTGTTAAATGAAATTGATCTCCCAAGGAATTCCTATTAATTATAATACTTTGTAATATAGTATCTCTTAGTTTACAAAGGAATTTTTAGTTTTTCTATCTTTTAGTTTGATACATTGCCGTTATACATATCTATGGGGTATAATTTGATGTTTCCATACATACCTGTTGGGTAATGATTCACTTGGGGTATTTAGTGTATCCATCACCTCATGCATTTCTCATTTCTTTGTGGTGAAAATATGTTTTCCCTTACAACAATCAGGAGAAGGTAGAACCTGTATTATTAACCCCATATTACAGATAAAGAAATTTTTCTTAGGCTAAATGACTTATCCAGAGTAATATATGTAGGTAATAAAATAGACCACATTTTTCATGTGCTATAATAGAATTTATTCCTTTCCATACTCTTACCTCTTAACTCTTGAAATATAAAATATAAATTTAGTAGGTCTAATCCAGCCTGGGCAATACAGTGAGACTCTGTCTCTATAAAGAAATATAATCTATAAATATATATGTATTTATTTATGTATTTATATATATTTAAAGTTAAGTCACACAAAGAAAGATAATAATAAAGCATTATGACTTCTATGTAGTAAAATTAATTAAACAAAGTTATTTCTGTGACTTTACCCTATTATCTTTAAATTTAGAATTCTGTCAGTTACCCCATAATTGCTTACAGCTATTAAATGCAATCTTTGGATAGCAATTAATGCATGTTAATAGATAAATGATGACTTTGAAAATGTATTTTTTCTAGGTTCCTGACCAATATGGCACAATAAGAGCTGTAGCAGAAGGAAAAGCAGATCAATTTTTAGTAGGCACATCACGAAACTTTATTTTACGGGGAACATTTAATGATGGCTTCCAAATAGAAGTACAGGTAAACAGAATAATAACTATTAACTGATTATTTTTGATGGTACCCTTTAGTTATTATAACAAGGAGTGTCTTTCATTTTCAGGGTCATACAGATGAGCTTTGGGGTCTTGCCACACATCCTTTCAAAGATTTGCTCTTGACATGTGCTCAGGACAGGCAGGTGTGCATGTGGAACTCAGTGGAACACAGGCTGGAGTGGACAAGGCTCGTAGATGTGAGTGAAGCAAGTTGTGATTAATCTCCCCTCAGAAACACTTCACACTGTCAGTCAGGGGCAGCAAAGAAAAAAGAACTAAGCATTGACTTAAACCAAGTGTTTCTGTCTCTGTGGTTTAATAAAGGGGCTGGAGGTAAGGGGAATATTTAGGCTTAAAGTATAACATGAACCCACTATAAAGAAGCAAGTTAGCAGAGTAAAAGCTCAATTTTTCTATCCGTTTCAGCAGTAAAAATCATTGAGATTTCACATATTTAGGGAAGATTAATTTTCATGGGAATATTTGAGCCTCTGAGGGTGTCACAGTTAGATTCCTTAAGTGCTGCTCACTAACAGACTGTACTGTCTTCTTTTTGAGTGGTCTTTCACTGTATTTTCTCCCTACCCCACCCAGATATCCACCTTTTCTAGCCCAAAAGGTGTATACAAGTTCTTTGCAGACTCTAAAGAACTGTACACTTGTTTGTTGTTACCCTTATCACTGTTCCACTGCCTGTTCACAAGCTGGTTGTCCTTTTCCCCCACCCCTCTGTCAGTTTATCCCCTTCATGCTCTGAAATTCTTTTTTCCTCTCATGTCCATGTGGTATTTCTCAGTAGCTAAAATAAAAGTTGATCAGAATTCCATGTTTGTATGATAGAAGTTATTTTCACATGTGTTTTTGCCACTGTCCCCATAGATCTACAGAGACTTTCTCATGTACTCCCCAACAGCTGTCTGTCTTTCTTCTAGGAACCAGGACACTGTGCAGATTTTCATCCCAGTGGCACAGTGGTGGCCATAGGAACGCACTCAGGCAGGTAGGGTCTTTAAGTGAGCTGAGTAATCTGAAATTGTGGGATGTTTAAACCGTTATGCAGGAATGTTCTCAATCTGACCTGGAGAATTAATCTCTTAAATGGCATACTAATATGCTTGTTGCTCTATCTGTTATATATACTTCTTCAGTCATTCAGTAATTGTTTATTGAGCACCTACGGTTTGCTGCATTGTGAGCATTCAGGATACAGCAGAGAGCAACAAAATTCTTGCTCTTGCGAAGGCCACATCTTATTCTGTATCAGGAGTACAAATAGAATATGAATGAACATTATAACTAATTATGTTAGAAAACGTTAAGAGCCATGTGAGGGGAGGAGAATAGGGGATAGCAAGGGGGGACTGGGAGAAGGTACATTTGCAAAATGATAAGCAGAGTGGTGAGGAAAGGCTTCATTGAGAAGGAGATAGCAGATTTGACTTTTGTGAAATTAGAAGTATGAGAATATTGCTTTCTTCATTAACTTCTATGCAGAGAAGGAATTTGAAGCTGATATAACCCAATTGATTATTTACACATTGTTTTATGCTATAGCTTGTGCTATCCTTTCTTTGAATGCTATACTTATATGTAATAAAGGTATATTTTCTAAAATCATTAATGGCCTTTCAAACCTTATGTTGTACCTTTCCAAGGTTATTAAGTAACATGTTTATTATCTATGTATTTTTAATTGATTCCCATTTATTGCTTCTGCTAGTAATAGTCTTCATTTTCTTTTTTAAGAAAGCAGAGGAAAAATGTGAAGTCATTTTTCCCCTAAATTAAACCTACTTTTAAAATGTGGAATGCTTATTCTTAATGAGGTGAAACTATATGAGTACACTTACATAAATATCATTTTTATATGGCTAAAATATTCTAAACCAACCAGTTCAATTCTAACCAAATGCAATTACTGAAAACTTTTTTGTAGCATGTAGAGGGTTTCTCCTGCCCCCAGCTTTTATTTTTTT